CGCTGCCCTGTGGGAGCCAGGCGGGCTCAGGATATCTGCAGACTATTTGGGGGCTGGGCCGGGTCCCTGTCTTCAGCTTCACATTTGACCAACCCGGAAAGGCGCTCTGATTCCTGAGTCTCCACGCCCAGGGCCCTGCCTGCCCCTGCTTGCTCTTCCTTCCTGGCCTTTCCCACTCTGGGGGTATGTGGGGGGTGAGGAGCTGTTTACAAGGAGCAGTGCAGCTGGGAGATAGGATGCAGGTGAGGTGAACAGGGCAGAGAAGAAGGAACCCGGAGGACTTTGGTGTCCAGTTTGAGGATGGGAGAGAAACGGGCTACCCACAGTGTCTAATAGAATCCCAGCGCTCAGCTCCACCTCCCTGGTGACCCTAACCTTCCGTGACTGTCCTGGAAAAGAGAACAAGATTTGGGAAGCGAGACTGGCTGGGTAGAAGGGAGCGCCATCCTGCTCCAGGTGTCGGAGCTGGCCCAGGGACCCTGAGCATGGCGCTCTCTCCAGCTGCAGGTGAACGTTTCTCCTGGAAATGATGGGCTCTGTGGTCTTGCCAGGCTCCTTCTGTGTGCTGGTGCCCAGGGTGGTGAGGAGAGAGAAGGGCTTTGGTTTGGCTTGGCTTTTGTCCTCTCTGTTCTTCTTGGGTTGGGGCTACCAGTCCTCCCTGTTTTTGCACCTTGGCCTCTGGAACTTGGTTCTACTCTCATCTGGGCATCTTGCCTTTGTGCTCAGTTGGTGACTTGAAGAGGCGTTGGGTGATTGGGGACAGGGTGGCTTGCAATAAAACCTGCATATGATATTGTCCAGGGTTAGGGCTTCTTTCCCATCCTCCTCCTGTCTTTCCACTTCTGCGCCTCTCCCCGTCTCAGGACAGTGCTCAGTCCTGGAGGATGAGCGAAATCATTGTGATTTGATCCTCACACGAAACCATTTGAAGGAAGCAACTCAGACACTAAATGACCCAAAGCCCTAGGTGTAAGTGGGAAAGTCTGCTTCGGCAGTTTTCGTTTTTTAATGTGGTAGATACGTTTGATCTTAGCTCTGTGTTGGGGGCTGTGAACTTACACACAGCTGAAAAACCCCTCCCTCCGACCCCCCGCCCACAGCTGCGGTTGGCTTTTGACCGTCAAAGCACCTTAAAGGAAGAAAGCCACACTTGGGCTTCCTTTCTGTGAGCTGGTGTTTTGGCGGGGGTGGTCAGCAGTGGACTCGTTGGGAAGGGAGTTGGTGTGGAAAGGAAGGTGTAGGTTGATGGTCGATGGTTGAGTTTGCTGGGTGGGAAT